TGCTGCAGAACAGGAACCTGCTGTAAAACAGCAATTATGCTGAGTCAGGCTTGATTTTTAGTAATCTTTTCCTGTTGAATCAATAAATCAAATCAAATCAATTAAAGGCAAAGCATTTAAAGCATGAGTTTTAGACTAAGATCAACTTACCGGTATGTAAATTTTACCCCAAAAAACAAAACCAAAACTAAGCCGTTGGTTGAAGAAAGCAGGTATATCATTTTTTTAAAGACTCAGAATCCATTTTCTAAATTTGTTCAAATGAAACAGTCATTAAATATGGGAAATAATCTGCAGATTTGTCTATAATTAATATAATAATTCACCACAGCCTGATGTGTAGAGCTGATGTCTACTCCTCTATAGTGTTCAAACTGATACTGAAACATTGAAACTCCAGAACTTTACGCTCTGAAATCCATTCAAAAAAATATTAATACTTTGATACTTCAGTCATTTCAGGTCATGTATATGATTTAACAGGAACACAGTGGAAAGTAATTAAACTGTTAAAATCTTGTCTAAATCATACACATGATGGGAACTACTTTTCTTCCGCCTGGTTAATGGCACATGCTCAGTCAGTTATGCAGTCTGTAGATGTATCATGTCACACAACATTTCCTTTTTATAGTAATGATTAAACAATGATTTATTTTAATAGTTTTCTTTTTTTATTGTTTAAAACATTATTTTCATGTATTATATATGAAGCGGTGATTTGAAATACACTACTTTTTTAGATTTACTAGAGACATTAGATAATTTGTACTAGTATTAGTATCGGATCAGTATCACCAATACCAACCTGAATTTTACTTGGTATCAGAAATGTAAAGGAAATCAGTGGTATTGAGCATCACTAACCTCTATTATTTACCAAACAATACACTGCTTTTATATCAATCATGAGTTACAAATGTAATCTAATAAGATAAAAAATGTGTTTTACAAGACAAAAACAGAGGAATGTAAGAAAAACCGTACTTGAAACTGAATACGTTTACTGTGGTTGTAAGTTTTCTAAAGACACTAAAAATACATTTCCACTGCACATTACTGTCCACGGTCATGAAAGGCAGACTATTCAACACAGACTCTGAGCGCTAACAGATCACAAAAGATACCCATTTAAAACTTGGTCATGGAAGGCAGAGGGCGATATGCATTCCCAACTCTTAAAAATAATAATTTTTCTTAAAAAAAAAGAGAAAGGTCTCAGACTATTTTTCAATGACAAAAAGACATTTACAGTAAAGCTCATTAAGTCTGCAGAGTAACTTCAAACGTCTTGCATTAATGAGATTCAGAAACCCAACAGTTAATTGGATACCCACCCACCCCACACATACACACATAAACACACATATAAGTGTGTGTTTACAGTTACTTCAGTTAAAAGGTTGACCTTCACTGTGTAGAATGATTTACATACAATATGTGCTGAGTTTGGTTTCACTTTTATCTATAAAAAAACTAAACATGAATTTATCTCTGAGGTGTTTCAGATTTAACAAGTCACACAGCTACAACATTCTGAGAGTCATTTATAGTGAAGTAAGGGAACACAACAAAAACATGAAGGTCAAGTTTATTTTCCCAGGGTTCCCAGCATGTCAGGAGCAGAAAACGCCTTCTTTACATCGACTCTGCTGACCTTTAAACACCAACCCTCACCAAACCTGTGGGCACTTCTCACCTCTCATGAGGCTGGATAAACTATGCAAACACAACCCTGAGCTTAAAATGGGGGGAAAAACCTTTATAGGTTAATTAACAAGAAGTACCTACTTTAAAAAAGAGTGAATCATGATTTGTCAACAATTATATAGAGCAGTGGTTTTAGGTTAAAATTCAATTAGGTCCTCTTAGAAAATGGTTTCTCATTATATATATATATATATATATGTAAAAATTTGTATAATAAATTTAGATATATGTGTATAAAAAAACTTAAAATAGTATTTATTATTATAGTTTATTTTGTCGTGCGCTCCTCAAAACCCTCCAAGTTAAGAATTACATTATAGTTCAGTATAATGTTGAGTGTCATTAAAAAAAGGAGAAATACTGTAAAAAAACAGTTTATATGGTGAAGTAAGGGGACAGTCAGGTGAATCTGTCAAAATGGGTTCAGACGTGTTCATGTCAGAATTTAGTTGTTATGAATTTTTGTTGGACTGTTTCTCGGGCTTTAATATTCTCTGCTGTCTCTGAACATGTGAGACAAACTAGTTTTAAACTCTCCACAGGAAGAATGAACACATAAACCATTCAGCATGGAGCAAAACCTTTAGTTTCCTTTTCACTGTTTTTCTTTTAGTCACATCCATGCCGGTTTTCTTTCTCAGCCTCTTATCTCTCTGTGGGTCTATTTCTCAGATCGGAGATACCAGACCAGCCCAAAAATCAGATTTACCATAAATATGAGACCACATTTGAGAGTAAATTTAGGGTGTATTCACACTTGGTCTGCTTTAAACGGACCAACGTTTGTTTCCCTCGTTGCTCTGGACCTTTTATGCATGTCTGACTAAATTCATGCAAACCCTGGTGTGGTCCAAACAATCGGATTGAGACCCATTTTGGAGCTGGTTTCTGTCTGCTTCCAAATATACTCTGGTGCAGTTCGCTTCTGGTGTGAATACAGACCAACCTAAACTCGAACCAACTACAGGAAGCATGTGCCTTTTTGGACTTCATGAGCCACTGTTGCTCGGCATCATGGTAACAATTAGACCTTCAGTGACAGACCTGGAGCAACCACCTGGAGACAGCCCAGGAGACACTGTGCCTCCTCCATATTTGGACAGATGAACACATAACGGACATAACACACAGGACTTCCATCTTTCAAAAGAAAGAATGAATAAATAAATAAATAAATAAATAAATAAATAAATAAATAAATAAATAAATAACTTCCATCTTTATTTCCGGGTCTGTACTCTGTCCCACCCCCATCATTTCTGTCCAATGGGAGCAATGATCGTCATCTGTGTGGCTTTGTTTATAAATTATAGTACGCTTGCAAAAAAGCACAACGTGAATGCAAACTGTACCAAAAAAATTAAAAAATAAATAAAATCCACTTTTGTTCCGAGCCAAGCAAGTGGACCAAAAGACTTTCCTGGTGTGCAAACACTCTTAAACAGATCTGGACCACAGGCCGTCATGTGGGGACTCCTGTTCTACAGCTTCAACTGCAAATCATCCACCCAGTAAAAGCAAATAGTTCTACAAAACACTCGCGACCTGCCAGACACCATTTACATGGATTTGTTACCTTTAACACCCCTACTGCTCATTTAACAACACACACACCTGGTAATGGAAGACCGTGTTGAGCTTCTTCCGACCGTCCTCCATCACCGAGGAGTTGTCCAGGTCCTGCAGAAGCTTACTGTTGCTGCCCGAGTCAAACCACTCTGCAGGGAAGACAAACGGAGGAAGAAGGTGTCGGACAATTTCATTTCAGATTCGGAGAAGAACAGACGAGACAAGCGGCAGCCGTGCTCTAAAACTCCGCCGTGACCCGTGGAAATATTCCCAGGCCATTAATCAAATCAGCTCTGCAGGCTGCACAGCCTCTGAAAGCAATAACTCTTTGTGATTATGACTGTACACTCTCCTCAAATGCATTCTGTCATTTATTATATTGCAGCCGCAGGTTAGTTGGGCTTCATGAGAAGAATTGACCTTTTGCAAAGGAGATTACTGTGTCTCGGAGGTTTGGGGACGGGGGAGAGGATGAAAATAATCAGAAAAACGTGTCCGTACCCAGGTCCACATCCTCTGCTCGAGGCCACTGGGAGAAAGGCAGATTCTTATAAAAGGCTTCGATGATTTTTTCTTTAACTTGGCAGATGGTGTCAGTATTCATGACTCTGACTGACAGTGAGTCCATGCCACAGCCCTGGAAGGACACGTTGATGTTCTGTGGAAATAAAGTAAGACATGCTTAGTTAAAAACCAGCCTCGCAACAATCCTTTTAGCTGACTCCGCATGTTTTGCACTGATTGAGGATGTTAAAAATGATCAGAGGGAGCATGAGGGGTCTGACCTGTGGCTTGGCCTCGATGTTCTCCCGCAGCAGCCACTCCTCGTTGAGGGTGTAGCGGGCCTTCCCGGTGATGGCGTCTATGGAGCCCTTGTTGATCTGCTGCTTGATCGCACAGAGCAGCAGGAAAAAAGGCTCACCCACTGTTTCCTGTGGAACAAGAACCAATTGAAAAATCTGCACTCCCTCGAAGGAATGCGTGACCCTGAAAGGAAGAAGTGGGTTAAGATAATGCATATCACCCACCGCCTTTCAAGTCAGAGTTTTACACTAAGATCATCTCTAGATAAGAAGTGACAGTTGTAGCTGTTTTGGTCAAAATGCGAAAAGTTCGCTTAAAAATCAGTTAATGCTTAAGGTATATGTTGGGAAAAATTCTTAGCTACAACTACACCAAATTTTAGCTCAAAATTTAAAAGAATTGTTTTCATTATAGCTTTTTTGTGTTGGCCAAACTCAATTAGCTGTGGCTGCCATTTTTTTGATCAACTCTGAAGTTTATTGTTGATGTACTTCCAATTAATACTTTCTAAAAGATTTATTAAAATCGGTGCAGGAGTTTATGAAATATTTTACTAACAAATAGACAATATCTACATTAAAAGTTAATGCTACAGATTTAAACAAAAACTTTACACACTGTGAAGCGGTCTGATTATGTGTTTGGAATGACTCTCAGCTACTAACACACCAAATATTAGCTCAATACATGTAACACTGACCGAGTTATAGACATTTTTGTGTTGTTCAACGTTGATTAGATGCTGCGGCTACCTTGAATTGAGAAAACTCCAAAAGTTAATCAGCTGAAGAGCTACATGCAATGATGATGTTCTGAGTGTTTTATTCAAATCTATTCAGTGTTGAATGAAATATTTTGCTAACAAGACATGTAGAGATGATAGCTTATGGGAGATTTTATAAAACCAGATCTTGCTCAGTGTTCAGATTAAGTGTACATGTGTATCACCTTTGCCTTTAGCAGCAGGTGATAATCAGGAATGCAGGCTTCTCTATCTCTCTTTTTTAATCAAATCTTTGCTGAGTCTCCCTCTTCATCCTCACCTTTAGGTAGCTGTACATGCAGATGGACATCCAGTTGGTCAGCATCTTCTCCACGACCGACTCCGTGCGCCGCAGCATCAGCTTGGGGTTCTTGGAGGCCGAAGCGTCGATCAGATCCACCAGCAGGTCTTTCATGATGCTGGTGTAGTACTCGAGCTTACCATGGAGGGCGATGGTGAGCAGGGATGCCAGGCTGCATCTGAGAGGAGTGAGGGAAAACAGATTATCAGAGGTGACAAACGAGCACAAACACGCTTGTGCAAACACGCTCCGCCAGAGCGTGGTCAGTGGAGGGTTAGGAATAATAAATAACAGAAAACCAAAACAGGACTCAGTCCGACCGTGTTGCACCTGAGACCGAGGAGCCAAATAAAGGTCTGATCTAATGCAGGGGAGTGTCTGAGTCAGTGTCCAGAGGTGCCGGGGGATTTCCCTAACAAAGCCCCTTTAATCCAGCAGGAAGAGGCTCCATCAGTCAGTAAGCGCTGACGCTGTGCAGGGACAGGGATGTGGTCTCAGCTCTGGAATTTTTTCCCTTTGATTCAGAATGACACGGTAGCTTTGGGACGCCACAATCAAGTGTTTTGTTTACTTTTATAATCAAATAACAAAAAGGAAGCTGGACATTTAAACCTGAACAGACTTTTTGGTTCCTTTACTGTGAAACAAATAAAATTACCACCTACAGAGCTGATACTGTAAACCAGGTTCTAGCGTTTAACAGGAGCTGTGTTTCTGAATATTTGCTTAATGTAAACTTTACTTTTGTCTTTAATGTATTTTGGGTCACATCTGTGTCTTAAGCCACTGAATCTCTTGTTGTTTTTATGAACTGCTTTTCACTAACTTATCTTTTTTATTGCTGAGGGGAGTGTAAAAGTCTTTCTATGCCTGCTGCAATGATGAGAACAGTGAAAATGAATAAAACCAGAGTGGGTCAGAAAACCTAAACAACTCATTCTTTGAAAAAACAGTAATACAGTCTAAAACAATAGTGGGAACCATGGGATTGGGTGATAATTATTTGTGTTATGTAGTTGTTTAGCCTTCCACAAGACTTAACACTTTTCACTTGGCTCCATCCTTCCAAAAACATAGTTTGTTTATTTAAAAAAAAACATAATACTAAAAGATGAAATGATTTACATAAAGTTTGTTCTCCTCCTGTGCCTCTGACTGTTCATGATGTTTGAACACCCACAAACAGGCGCTCTCAGTAGTTTTGAGTGTCTCTCTGTAAGTGTGCCAGTGGTGCTGAACCACAATGAGAGGCCACTTTGCAAAGGTCAACTCAAAACAAAAGCCAAGTCAGACCCAATTCCAGTTTTCCTGTCACCCAGTAGGTTAAAAACAAATCTGAAGGATGCCATTCAGCAATACGTGCTCATTTCTATCAGCGTCACATCGGATTCTGCTCCCTCGAAAACACAAGTCAGGAAAACAAAAAAATATATTAAAGTTTTGAAGATGACTAATGCAGACATAATGTTAGTATAGACATGGAGTGGGCACGTCTGGTCCATGAGGGCTGCTGTCCTACATGTTTTAGATGTTTCTCTGCTCCAACACACCTGACTGGAATGAATGAATGATCAGCTGTCTTCTGCAGAACTTGAAGAGGTCGTCAATCAATGAACCAGGTGTGTTGGAGCAGGGAAAACATGTATGATAGTGGCTACGACCAGGATTGCGCACCCTTGATAAAGACTCGAGGTATCACTTGTTTAAAATCCTAAAAGATTATTTCACAACAAAATTTAAACCTAAAGTAAAACTGAGCAAAATACATGTGCATGGTTCCTACACCTTTTTCGAAATTTCAAACTTCTCCAGACTTTCCAGATATTTTTAGGTGATTTTCAGGACATTTTGGAAGTCTGAGAACTCTAAGATTAGATTGCAGAGACAACTATAAACATGGGAATAAACTCCTAATAAGTTGATTAAATGTTTTAGGGCTGGACTAAAATGTCAAAACATATAGTAAATAATCTGTATTTAAATAACATCTTTTTAAATCAGTAAGATTCACAATGTGTTTTATATTGTAAACTAAAACTGTGTCTACTGTTTATACACAGCGGTGTTCCTCAATCCTGGTCCTCGAGGACCACTATCCTTCATGTTTTAATTGTTTCTCTGCTCTTCAGCAGGTCTTTAAGTCCTGCAGAAACCTCTTAATCACTTATTTATTCAAATCAGGTGTGTTAAATCAGGGACACATTTTAAAACATGCAGGTTAGTGGCCCTCGAAGACCGGGATTGAGAATCACTGATGTACACTATAATTAAAAATGGAGCAAATTAGTTTCAAATTTGTATGTTTTAGAAAATAGAAGAGAGAGTGAAGTCCGAAAACAGAAAAGTATTTACATGACCTTTTTCATATTTTTCAAACTTATCAACATTTGGAAAACACTGAAGTAAATTCCACATTTTTTTAGGGCAGCGTAAGAATGTGAAAAACTAAGATAAGAACAACTTGAAGAAAAAGTTTGGATTTTTCAAGTGGGGTTCTGTAGAGAGTTTATGATCTGTTAATATCTTACCTGTTGTAGATAGCTTTTTTAGAGACATCAGTTTGAAAAAATTAATGTTTCATTTTAACTAGATCAACTAACCAACAGCTATTTAAGGGAGGGTCAAGACTTAAATGGACTGCAGTCATTGTAAAATACCACTAAACTCAAAAAATACATACGTAGCTTATGTCTCTTTTGCATCACACTGTTATTTACATCAAAGTCTTTGGTTATTTGAAAGCTAAAACAGCCACAGCAGCAGCAGGCTGCAACATTTCCTGTGCAGCCTGGGCCACGTCCTGCAGGAATATCATAATATTTCTGCTGGAATGAATGTGTAATGCTAAATCAATGGAGGTGTAAAGTTTATAAAATAGTGTTTATGTGAATGACAGTGAAATTTTTTTACTACTTTTGTCAGAATGAATCCGTATTTCTCCAAACCAAACCTGTGCAAAGAGCTATCTACAGCAGGTAAGATATCATTTATTCATAATGACTATTAAATTACCTGTCTCTAACAGCAAAGTCCTTCTGCTGCTCCAAGGCGTGGACAAACGTGATGAGGAAGTGCTTGTTGTTGAGCAGAGTGGAGAACAGAGTGATGCCCTCCTCCACGTTAGGCCGTGTTGTGTTGGTGGCCTGATGACAGAAGATGACAGAAGGTGGATAAAACATTTACTTCTCGGTCATAAGTGGATTACCACCTGCTGCGCCTTCCCTAATCGGTTTCACCACCTTGTGTCGCGAGTGATTCATCTAGTGAACGCCTCATCTTTCCATCACGCGACCCTTCCCTCTGCTTTCATCTGGAACCTCCCTCTCAGGTTTACTCCACTCCGACTCTCTCATTGTGCAGGACTGTCCCTAAATGTGCAGAGTCGGCTTAATGAGCGCAGGCCTATCAATGGGCGCGACTAAGCTACGGCGCGATGAAGTCTTCCCTCTGGACTGCAGCCATATGTTGTGGTTTGCAGCCTGACAGAAGGAGAACAGTGGTGTCCATTAAGATAAATGCCTCCCTCTGAGATTTATTCGCTGTGACCTGGAAAACACTTCCTGCAAAGACGATGTGGATCCAAGGCACTTCATCACTGTTAGACAGGCTCCCCTGGCTGCCGACCCAAAACCAGCGCTGCAGTCTTTACTTTCTCTCGTTAGAAGTTGCACGCACACACACACACACCTGCACGTGCTTTCACTTTCAGCACACGTTCACACTTAAGTGAATGCTTTCTCCCACTCTCTCTGTATAACACACACCTGCCCTCGTACAATCGCACACACAACCACCAGTGTGATATGATGGTTTTGGATGAAAAGGAGACTGTTTTGTTGTCCGAGAGCAAAAAGGGAAAGTGGTAAGAACTTGCTAACAATCTGCTTCCACAAAAGAGGAGCAATCATATTGTGTGTGTGTGTGTGTGTGTGTGTGTGTGTGTGTGTGTGTGTGTGTGTGTGTGTGTGTGTGTGTGTGTG